AAGTGTGAGCATGATTTTGAACATGACGTATTTCTTGCTTATTTGCATTTCCAAATGAGAAATGAAAGTTCATTTTGAAATTCTGCATAGCAAAGTTTGTAACACTAATTACGTTGTTGATCCTGTTTCAAAAAGTGATTTGAGAGCTTAGCAATGAATTTGGATAAAATGCATGGGCAATATAAAGCACTTTGTAATATCCAAAGTCCTTTTATAAAATCCAAAGTCATTTTATGAAATCACAGAATTTTGTAATTTCAGAAGTTTACTTTTATAACTATCAAAAATGTCACAGATTCAACCCCATGCGCTCAAAACTAGTTTACTTTCGTTTATAATATTAATAGTAAACAAAAGCAGTTTGAGAATTTTAATGTTTGAAACATTTATTAAAAATTTAGTTCTAAGCTGGGTGTGGTGGCACAGGACTTTAAACCCAGCACTTGGGAGGCAGAGGCAGAAGGATCTGGCCTGGTCTACACACTGAGTTCTAGGCCAGCTGGGGCTATAGGGAGATCCTGTCTCAAAAAAACCAAACAAAAAATCTAATTCTTTAGGGTTTTTCATATTTATGTTCTGGAGTCCATTTCTAGAATTCAGTGCTTTAAATAAATTTGTAATGTTTTTAAAGATAGCCATGGATTCAACACAGATACACATGCTAATCTCCGGTGAGTGAGACTTGCAGAGCCACAGTAGTGATTGTGGTAGGAGAACAAACAGGGCATCTAGTCACTCAAATTGGAATGGGGGACAAAAAGAAATATTTACCTTTTGCTCAGTCATCTTGCTAAGATTGACTTGCTATTAGCGTCTAGAGATGTTTCTGGAACTTTTAGGTGTCATTTCCACACTCCTGTGGGTGGCAATGTGATCATTTTTCTGAGTTTTTCTTCACCTCAGGGCGGAGATGTAGTTTCTATGCATTCTTCGATCATTTCCCATTTAAATATTTTCACATTATGTCTCTTTAGTCATCTCAACTTAGTTTTGTGTTTATTCTGTTTCTGGTGCTAGGGATTGAACCCAAGGCCATGCATGCACTGCACCACTGAGCTACATACACCCCGGCCCCTCAGCTAGGTTTTAAGAAGTCAATATTTACATGTAGGGTTGATACACTTATGCCCATTTAGGTTGTCAACCTGGAGAGAGAGAGAGGTGTGCTGGGGGGACAAGAACAAATCTGGGGCCTTTAACCTATAACTGTTAATTTGACACAGTAAGAGGGATGTTGAAGCTCCAATTTTACTTATTGTAAAAGAAAATCTAAAAGAAAATCTAATCATCCTTCCCAGTACCACTGAGGATTTATTTTTAAAGCAGATTTGAACTGTGACCCTATCTCAATTGCTTACCAAATTTACTTTCAGAAGAACTAATTCCTGTTTCACTTTCAAAAAACGGACTCAGATTACTCAGTGAAGCTTGATAATACATAGTTTGAGGGTAGACTGATAAATGCCTCACGAAGTATTCAATTCTTCGCCTCTGCCCCCCGTGCACTGTAGAAGGTATGGAACGCGCTGTTCTCGGTGTGGGAGGCACATCCACTCTACTGACTGGGTCCGCAGGGCCAAAGGCAACGTCTATCACCTGGCGTGCTTTGCATGCTTTTCTTGCAAAAGGCAACTTTCCACGGGAGAGGAGTTTGCACTGGTGGAAGAAAAAGTCCTCTGCAGAGTGCATTTTGACTGCATGCTGGATAATTTGAAAAGAGAAGTGGAGAATGGTAAGTGTGCACTTAAAACATTGTTGAGTCATTCCAGACAGGAAAGAGAGAAGTTGATGTTTTCTCAAGACCATTCTAATATATTATTTTGTACAAGTTATAATTGTGGCAAAATTCATAAAGCATTCTAATACTAGCAAAAGTCTCCATCTGTTGGTTTTCAGGGAACGGTGCGGTGGATATGTTAGCTCATGCCCAGTTCTGAGGCAGGAGCCTGGAGTTGGGGTGTGGCTTTTATTTCTGTGTACCTGCCTGCCTGCCTAAGAATGGGCCTTGGATGTATACTTTTAACTTTTTGAACTTGTGGCTAGGTGCACAAAACTGTAAATACTATTTCTACAGTATATTTCCAACATGCCTTAGGAGTAAAGTAATTCAGAAGATACATGTGATTTACAAGATAGATGTATATTCACACCAAGCCAAGAGGTGTAAAGAAACAATACTCAAAATGGGTATTGTGGACCCACTTGAGTTACCAGCTATGTGGTTTGCTTTTAAAATGCAGGTAATGGGATTAGTATGGAAGGAGCCCTCCTCACAGAACAAGATGTCAATCATCCAAAACCAGCCAAAAGAGCTCGGACTAGCTTCACAGCTGACCAGCTCCAGGTAGGCATGACAGTGAATTTGTGATTTTCGAAGCCCCTCTCCAACAAAAACCCAAAGCAAAATAGAAAAGCAATTTCAGTGCTGCTCTGATGTTGTTCTATGCTTTTTTTTTTCTATGTACGAGTGTATTGCCTGCATGTATGTGAGTGCACCTGTGTCATGCAATGCCACGGAGGTCAGAAGAGGGCTTCGGATTCCCCTGGAACTAGAGTTAAGGACAGTTCATAGCCGCCATGTGGTTGCTGGGAATTCTCTGCAAGAGCAGTCAGTGCTTTTAACCGCTGACCCATCTTTTTAAAAAGCCTAACTTGATGACTTGTGTGAACATAGTTACTGCCTTAAAAAGTTTACTTGTGATTCCAGCATCATGGTTCTAGTCATGTTAGCTTTGTTTCCTTAAGCTCCTTTGGTGTTGACATCAAACTGGAGCACACTGTTGATCTGTCCTGCCTTCCTGATCGCTACAGACAAGAGCATTTTTATTATCACATGTAACTACCACAGAGATGTATGGGGACTCCACTGAGAGGCAGCACGTGGACCTGTGGGACTCAATGTACTGGTCTTCACATCAACTACAGGAGCTCTGTAATGGACGAGACTGCATGGATTTTGAGCAGGAAAGCATGGCATCTGTCAGATATAAATAGGAATCTACTGGTTGGCTTCAATCAAGTAGTCCCTCTTCTGTCTTTAAAGAGATAGACAGTAACTCTAGTGTTTGATGCTAAAAGTTGCTTCTGCCCTGACAATTGAAGGACTGCCTTCACCATGGCTGTCTTAGATGTTCCCGCCATTAGTCTGATTTGTGCTAATTGTCAAGAAAAAGAATGGCTCCTTGCTTTATAGTTTAGTCTACCTGTATAATGATTCTTTATGCCACTTATTCAGATAGTCAGATCACGTTTTCTAAAAGATCACTGTGGCCAAGGCACTTGTTTTATGCCAAAGTAAAGTGGATTTATTGTGCTGCTTCCATGTAACGCCAGGTGCATTGAACGTCCTATTAACTGTAGCTCAGGACCGAAGACATTTCTGTCATGTTAATGAATGAAAACGTTTTGAAAAATCACTTGTAGTATTCTTAAACTGGTCAGCATTTCAGACTGCTACCATAAAAATTGAGAGTATTTTAAAGAATGATTAATGGGCCGGAGAGAGATGGCTCATCAGTTAAGATCACTGGCTGCTCTTGCAGAGGACCTGGGCTCAATTCTCAGCACCTACATGGTGGGTAACAACTGTCCATAACACCAGTTCTAGGGGATCCAGTTCCAGGTGATCTGACTCTGTCTTTTGATCTTTGCAGGATTCCATGACATGAGTGCACTTATAAACATGCAGACAATACACTCATACAATAGAATGATAATAAAATATTTTTTTAAATAAGAATGATTAGAAGGGCAGCCTGGATGTGACCAGCTTTCCAAGAGAATCTAAATCCCTTATGAAAAATAAAAATGATAATTTCCTGGGATTTCTTAGGCATAAAGCATGCTGCCAGTAAGTAACTAATAAAAAGGCAACAGAAAGAACTGTCTGTGCCCTGTCAATCCGATGCTTTGCTGGGGTGTGAGAGAGATCACACATGCCCTGAAGTTGAGGTGAATTCTTATTGGAGCTTTCAAGAACACCCATTTGCTAGAAGGTGTCTGGGTTAAAACAGAATCTCTAATAGAAATGTATCTTGTTGTTTTGAGACAGTGTCTCCTGTAGCCCCAGTTGGCCTGGAACTTGCTACATAGACCAGGTTGGCCTCGATCTCACAGAGATCCACCTGCTTCTGCTGAGTGCTGGGATTAAAGGTGTGTGCCACCAGGCCTGGAATTTATCAGTTTTTAAGTGACCTGCTCCCATGCCTGTGCCTTTGATTTATGACTTTGATGTAAAAATTTACTAGTAAAATTACAATTGTGACACTTTGAAGGAATGGTAGGTAGATGTACAATACCCGGTAGGAAGATAATTATAGAAAAGAAAGTGGAGTATCTGTGGAGGTCTTTGCAGGCCAAGCCCTGTGCCAGGCGCCTTATCCATGTTACCTTCAATTCCTTATGCACCCAAGAATTCCTCAATGTGTATACCTCTCTCAGAGGTATACGAACATCCTTCAAGGCACCCTGTCCAGGAAGATGGCAGAGAAAAGACTGGGTCGCAACTGACTTCTCCAACCTCTGTTTTCCACATGGTTTGTCCTCTCAGAAGGCCCTGGGTAGAAATCTGCCATAGCAGAACCCTACTCTATAGCAGCTGTAAAACAGGGGACTAAAATTTGGAGTCTGTGGTCAGGCTTCCTATTCTAAACTGCAGAACTTCACAAAATATTTCAGTCACGTATCACTATGCAAAAGTATGATCGGAGTCATAAGTTGTAAAAACATTTACCAGAGTCAGGCTTTAAACACCGAAAGCATGTATTAGATGTGCTGTCAAAGCTTGGCTCATTTACCCAGTATTCATTAGCATTGCTTTCAGGCCAGGGATGGCTGAAAAGAGATAGAATTCTCAGTGGTTCTTTTCAGAGAGATCCAGGATAGCTGTTGATTTAAAGAGGAAAAAGCAACCTGAACCAGATTTTTCCGGGTTCTGTAATAAATCAGCTGATATACTCTCATTGTCTAATTATCCCACATGTCACATATATATGAAAATATATTCAAATATGGAGTGAATTTAGCAAAATAATAAAATAATCATCTGTGAACAGCAAGTCAAGATGGTCCACGCAGTATCTCCTTGGCTAGATGAGTGTTAAGAAGGGGATGAATAAGTTCCTGAAATTGTATCTCAGACATGGCGAGAAGTTTCAGATTCAGAGGCGTATGTCTCCAGATATCTCAAATATGGCCCCACAGATAAGACTGGTTCTTAAGAAGTTCCAGTATACACCATGGCTCACTTATAATAACCAGCAGTTGGTATTAAACAAGTCGAGGCTGGCTCCTGCTTACATCTGTTCTCAGGTTAAACTGCCCAGCTGTTACTGCATGCACTCCTGGCTTTTCTTGTAGCCCTCTTGGTCTTAAATGATGACACCCGCAGACCTGCTTTGACCACATCTGGAGAGCCTGGGGAAGGAGTGGAGTAGATCTCAGCAATATTAGCATCTGGAGAATAACGAAAAACTACATAGAAACTTAAAAGGTCTTCTTTTCCTTCATTTTTTGTGAGACCAAATACTGGCATTATCGAAAGCAAGACCAGTGGATATGTCCTTGTCTTTAGAACATTCTAGTTCTAAATGTCCAGTGTGGCTTTAATTTTGTTTCATTTCTCGATGAGAAGTGGCTTTGCTAAATGTACGTTGATTCTTTTATTAAACTTGTAAATTTGGAGTGCACCCATGAAAGGAGCACTGCTGGTTTTGTTGTTTTGTTTTTAAGCCAGATTATTAATAATGGCCCTATAAGCAAATTCCCAACTATTGGTTCTTTATGAAAAATTAAAAGCATAATTTGTTCACTGATTATTCCTGTCTTTGGGACACTATGTGCTCAGCCACACGTAAGAACACACCTTCCTTCCTGTAGGGAGAGGGGGAAGAAGTGCGTTTGGAAAAGGGAAGGAAAGACGAAGAGATTAGAGATGTTTAGTCCATTTTTGCCAAGTTTTAAAATTTTTTAAAATCATTTTCCACTTATAGTGAGTGTATAGATATGATACAGTTGGGTGGGAAGCAGGAAAGCTTGATTCTGGAAATATCCCTAACCAGGGACTCTTAACCGAAAGTGTCATTTGTAAACCTCGCAAGGGTTCTGGACCCACACTGGACTTTTTCTCCACGCTCTCCAGATTTTCCTCACATTGTCAGGGCCACCAACTGCGCAGCATGTACAGGCAGGAGTTTAACTCTGGGGAAAATGCTTGGTGAAGCTTTCCTCTGGCCCTCCAGGAGGTGGTTACTGTGGAAAGTAGACGGACTTGCACAGAAACCTGGACCCTGTGACAAAGTGAGGTGGCAGAGACCGTATTACAGGACCCAGTGGAGACTGGGGAAGGGCGAAGAGGCAGCTAGTGCACATTCTCACACCTGTGGTCAGCACAGTCCGCATGCTCTACATACCCTTAATCTTTCTTATATGCCCTTTGTATTACAATCCCCTTGGCTGACTGTCAGTAATGAAATTCAAGTACGCCACCAGATTCTCATGATGATTCTCTCTTCCCAAAGAATCCCAAACCCTTGATCGACTTTGACTTTGATTTGTTCTTCCTCACCTCCTTCTACTTGGCTCCCTTTGTTACTGGCATTGCTATATTTTTCTTATGAGAAATTAAGGTCAGGCTCCCCACGCCCACCCCCTGTATCAGTACCTCACAGCACTGGCACAGGGATGCCAATACAGAGCTTCATGGCAGGATCACCTCTGAGTTTTTTCAAGAGATGTTTAGACTCTGCTAATTTTAGATTCAGATGACCAATAATGGATATCTCCTTTTAAGATCACAGAGTCCCTTACATGGAGCAAATGCTCCACCCCTCCCCCACAGTGATGGAGTCATTACAATATAGTAGAATTCATCTCTTGAGCTGTGTGCTATTTATAATTCAATGAAGATTATATTAGAGATACTGAATCTGTTTAGGTCCATGGAGATAGTGAGTTGTGATTTGTGTATTAAGTCTCCTGTGTTGGAGCATTTAACAAAACTGGAAGCCACGTAAAGATAACTTATTCCTAATGGCATAGAGACTCAAAGTTTTATGTTGCAATGGGTTAAATTTTAAAGCTCTCAGGATAACAGCTTATGTGTAAACTTTCAAAGTATGCCTTCTTTCCTACCTCCACTTGATTTTCAAGTGGTGGCTACACCCACCCCAGTTTCTTTTGTGTGTCTTATGTGTCCCATCACCAAGGTGCAAATGGTCAAGCTGCATGTTTTTAACCCTTTGATACCTATGTTTTTAAAAATAGGTTATGCAAGCACAGTTTGCTCAGGACAACAACCCAGACGCACAGACCCTCCAGAAACTGGCAGAAAGAACAGGCTTGAGCCGACGTGTCATACAGGTGAGCACTTTAATCATCAGTCAAGAGACACAAAGAATTCTAAATCTGAGTCTTTAAGTGTACACTTTTTTATGTGCATGAGAAAATATCAATTTCCACTGCCACTTTAGGTCCTCCTTCTCTGATTCAATTTTTCTTAAAGTCTGACAATGATTTTTCCTGGACTTGGCCACCATTCATCTGATGACTCTATTTGTACATCTTTATTTGATACACACAGCAGCCCTAAGACCCTCAGACTAAGAAAACCGCTGTGAACTTCTAGCCTAAATCTAGTTCCAAAGTCAGTGTACTCTCCTCACACCCCTTCTTTCCCTCTAATTTTCTTCTCTCTCTCTCTCTCTCTCTCTCTCTCTCTCTCTCTCTCCCTTCCCTTCTCTCCCCCCTCCCCCCTCCATCTGGGGGTGGGGTAGAGTCAGAGAGAGGGCTGGATAGAGAGCTACAGACTGATTGTGGTGACCAGGAAAGAGAAGTGACTTTTTAAAAAAAAAAAAAAAACAGAAACTTAACTGAGAGTGTAGGCCTATAATTCATTCCGGAATATTTTTTACTATTTGCCCACTGATGGCAGTCACTGGCAACTTAAGAGTCTGTAACAGAGAAGAGGAGAGAAGTTTGGTATTCTTGGTACTGATGTCCAAAGAAAGCTTGGCTGACTCTTGGGAGGGACATCAGATCCCCTGCACCTGTGCTGGCCATTGAGTCAGTGCTGGTGGTGAGTGGACCTGCAAACAGTATTTAAGGAGTGAACAGGGCACCAGCAAACAGGTCTAATGTCTTGACATTGAATAGATTCCTTTACAAATTCTGGTAGAAAAAGTGGAGGAGGGACCTGAGGGGGAGAAAGGATAGGGTCAGAGGTGCTGTCTGACTAGAGCACAAAGACACCCAGATGAAGGAAAGAAGCAGAGAAGCAACAGAAGCCCCAGGAAGTCGGGGGCGGGGCACTTTGGGAAGGAGGTGGCTTCCTGTGTCAAGACAGTATAGAGACCCCAGGGATAAGGAACACTATTTTAAAGAATTGAGTTTCTAAAAAGTTGAAGGCACTAATCATAATCAACAACATCAAAAACTGTCCAAAGTGTGTATAAATTCTTTTTTTTTGTACAACTAACACATGTTTTTGCAGCTGTGTGGTTGATCCTGGTAGGTTTATTCTTCAGGAAGGGGAAGCATTTTGGGTGAACATATCATCCCTCCAGCTGGAAGCACCCTAAGAAAGTTGCAGCTTCTCCAAAGATGGGGTTCCCAGTGCCTGGGGTGGCTGCAGGGTGCAAGGCCCTCTCCAGAGGCGAGCCCTCTGCACTGCTCAAATGTTTGTGCTTATTTTTAGAAAGAAATGAACGAGGAGCCAGTTCAAAAAGAACTGGTTCTTTTAAGGAAGGGCCACTAGGTCTTAAGAGAGCTAGAAGTCTTGTTATATTGAAGACAACAGGAATGTGAGAATGGCCAGGCCAGGGAAAGGGAGGGAATAGTCTATACAGAGCAGGTCTCTTTAAATGTATGTGCAACGTTGTCCTGTGAAGGAATGGGTAAGCACTGGTTTAGTTGTTCATGAACGTCCCTCATGAAGGCTACAGCCATGGTGTGTTGCCATTGGTGGTAGTGAAATTTCCTTTGTGGATAGTTCAGACTCTGTGGCCTGGAGAATTCCTTCTCATTTAGGACTCTATGCAAGGGTGAGTTCAAGAAATCCACAGATCTGCTTTTGTGGCACTTAGAGAATATATTGCTGGATTGGGGCTTTTAATTTCTATAGACTGAATGTTAGATTTAAAAAAAGACTTCTTTTTAATTATGTATATGTGGGGAGGTACATGCATGTGAACACAGATGCCTCTGGGGGCCAGAGGCATCAGAATCCCTGGAGTTGGAGTTACAGGCAGTTGTGAGCTGCCCAATATAGGTGCTGGAGACCAAACTCTGGTCCTCTGCAAGAGCAGCACATCCTCTTAGCTACTGAGCCACCTCTCCAGCCCCTGAACCACAGGCATTTCTGATAATGTAGCAAAGGAAGGAGTGTGAGCATTCAACTATAGGGATGTGTGTGTGGGTGTGTGAGTGCACACACGTGTGCACACACATATCTACATGTAATCTACATACATACCCCTTCATAGCATTTTTGAAAATGGAGTGACTGGGCTTTCAAATGGCAATCATAGTCCCATCCCTCCCCAGTTTCTCCCTTGTTCTTTAGAAAGGATAAAGAAAAGGTTTATTTCATTTTTGTGGGGTTTTTTTTTTTTTTTTGAGACAGAGAGTAGCTGCATAGTCCAAGCTGGCTTCAAACCAGCCGTGCAGTGCAGCCTGGCCTCATTTTTCTGAGTGCTGGGATTATAGGCATCTGCACCATGCTAGGCTTAAAGAGAAGTTTTATGATCAGGCCACTATGTTATGTAAACTAGCCACCCAGAGGTTTGGTGGAAACAGAGGTCTGGCACAGGGAGCGTCAACCTCACCAGCAACAGCTGTGTTCTGTGAGGTCCTGTGACATCAGATGATGTTTGTGCTGAAGTCTGTGAATGATGGGGGTGATCCTAACTTTCAGACAGCATCCAGAACCAGTCACCGCTCACATTCCCCTTCATATAAATTATAAGTGGTCTGTCTTATAGAAACAGGAAAACATTGCTACTTCACTAATTAGCATATTAAAACCACCCTTCCAAGCTAAGCGCTATGCTACTCTATTGCCACCTGTAGTGAGTATGGAATAATTTATTTAATTTCTAATTTTCCATGATCATAAAACTGTTGCCATAAGGAACATTGGTTATCTGTCCTATACTCTGATGCAATAGTTTCCTTAAGATGACTGTCTGGAAATTAGATTGTTGAATCAGAAGATAGAACGTTTTAAAATATATTTTATTTTTATTTTTATGTGCATGAGTGTATTACCTGCACGTATGTAAGTGCACCCATGTGGTGCAATGCCTGTGGAAGTCAGAAGAGGATGTTGAATTTCTCTGGAACCTGAGTTATGGATGGTTGTTAGCCACCATGTGGGTGCTGGGACTCAAACCTGGTTCCTCTGCAAGAGCAACCAGTGCTCTTAACCACTGAACCATCTCTCCAGCCCCAAGACAGAACATCTTTAGGGCCTTTATGCAAAAATTGCTTCCCAGGAAGTTCATACCAATTTGTTCTACCAAGAACGACATACAAGGTTCCTTCTCCCCATCTCGTCAGAACCCAGGAGGCTTCAGTCTCTTACACCCCTGCCAACTTGATAGGAAAGAAAAATCTCAATTTTATTTCTACTTATTTTAACCAAGAAATATGAACATACTTATTTTTATCATTTTAAAACTGTATGTTTTATCCCACTTTTAAAAAGATTTTTTTCTTTTAGTGTATGAGTGTTTTGCATGCATGTATGTACATGTACCACACGCATGCAGTAGCCCATGGAGACCAGAAGAGGGCATTAGATTCCCTATAACTGAAGTTACAGCAGGTTTGTTCTCAAACATGAGGTGCTGGAAATAGAACCCTGGTCCCTCTACAAGAACAGCAAGTTCTCTTAACCACTGAGCCAGCTCTCTAACCGCCAACCCACTTTTCTGATGGGTTATTTTTTCCTTATCATACTGATCTTTAGTAATGCTACTCACCACATGAAGCTTGCGTGCTTATCAATTTCCTTTTTGTTTATATTTTCCTCATAGACTTTTATGTATTGAATTCTTACTGATACCTTCGCCCATCCTTCTGGTTCTGTCTACAAAGGAGGCCAGCATTGACTTTTGTTTCCCTAAATATTTGTGGTTTCAATTACTTCTCCTAAATTTAATTTATTCGCATTGGTTTCAAAGTAGAGGTTTTCTCTAGAGGTTTCTCTCCAATTACTAAGTATTTTCCCCCAAATCAGTAGGTCATGCTTTTCTAGTCATATAACTTTTCATTTCTTTTTTTGGGGGGGAGGGGGTGGTTGAGACAGGGTCTCCCTATGGCCCGGCTGGCCTGGAGATCCATCTGCCTCTGCCTTCTGAGTGTTGGGATTAAAGGCTGTGCCACCACTCCCGACTCATCTTTTTAATATACTATTATTTTTATATTTATTCATTTTTGAGATAGGTTTTCATGTAGACCAGGCTAGCCTAACTAGAAATTCACTATGTAGCTGAGGATGGCATTGAACTTCTGATCCTCCTGCCTCAGCCTTCAGAGTGCTGGGATTACAGGTGTGCACTACCACTCACGGCTGTTCATCCCCTAATTCCTAATATTTAGTCCCCCGACTTTCTAAAAGATTCATTTTATGTATTAGTTATGTGGTTTGTTCTGCAGTCTACCTCCCGTGGCCTGTTTTCATTTATCATTAGAACTCAAACGTTTTTTTCTCAGTGCAACAGTATTTATTTTTTCCCAAAATTTTATTGTTTGTACATTTCATATAATGGATAGTAATCAAATTTAGACCCACTCCCCATAGCTCTCACCCCCAGATTTCAGGCATTCTGTCATATATTAAGTCTTATTCTGTCAAGCGTTTGTACCCAGTTGTCCCTTGGTGCAAGTTCATCCTCTGGAGTCCACTCAGCCTGTCTAGAGTCGGTCCCTTAAAGATCTACTCTCCCTCACCAAGAAGTAATCATTTAGCAATAATTCCTCGGCTAGGCTTGGGCCTCCCTCCCATTTACCCTGTTCTGTGCTGGGTTTTTGTCTGATTGAGTCGGCGTGGGTCTTGTGCATGCTGTCACCATTGGTCCAAGTTCATGAGCAACTTCCCAGAGGCCTGAAAGTCTCTTTCAAGGTTGGTCCGTGCACCAGTCCTGGCTCTTAGAATATTTTTGCTGAACTCGAATGTTTTAAAAGGTTTTTGGAATTTCATTGGTGTATTGTATTTGGATCATTTCCCCCACCACCCCCTGTCCCCCAGGTCCCCCCTCCCTTCCAGTTTGTCCTCTTCTTTGATTATTATTGTAGCATACACATACATGCATTTGTAATGCACTGTCCATTTATTGATGTTCATTTGTACGTGTGGTTAG